GTGACAATGCGCGCATCTGGCGCATGGGACTCTGAACTGGTATGTCAAACTGAACTTATAAAATGTGCCATCAGCAACAGTAACGGTGATAAGTACGAGCTACGTGCTCGCAAACTTAAGGAATTTAACTTACCCGTACAATTTGTCTCAAGTGTAGAATGTTACGAAAATGTACCTAATATTAATTATCCTTTGTGTTCTGTTAGTACAGTTAAACCTGAATTGTTAATAGGGCAAGATAATTATGATTTAATTGCGCCAATTGTTTGTAAAAGGTATAAGTCGAGCGGGCCGTTTATCACGCAAACATTATTAGGGTGGTGTGTGCATGGAGCTTTACGCCAAACTGATTTTACTGATAAGCGCGCCGAGCACGCCAACAATATCAGCAGCGTCAGCGGGACCCGAGCGGCGGCAGCTCGCCCGCTCGCACTCACCCCGCAAGGTAAGTCAATCGCGCGCGCCCGCCGCGACTCATCGGCAGCTGGCAGCGGCAGCGACACGGGCGCGAGCGAACCTTATAATATTATTGCATGCACAAGTACATCATTGCAGCAAACTAACATGTCTTTATCTATGCAATCTGATAACGATAACGTAAACATTGATTTACATGAGTTAATTCGTCGTTCTTTTTCTTTAGATTCAATCGGTATTAATAGCAAACCGCGTCAGAACTTAGAGACATTAAGGGCCATCAAAATAGTCGACGAGTCTGCCGAGTTAGTCAATGGACAATGGACGGTCAGGCTTCCGTGGAAACATGATGAATTTATCATGCCGGATTCGTATCCTATGGCGTTAAAACGATTAAAATCGGTAGAACGAAAAATGTTAGATTCAGAATATGAAAGTAGGTACCGCGAGCGTATGCAATATCTTTTTAACAATAACTACGCGAGAAAATTGGATGAAAACGGATCTAAAGACGAACAAACATCCCACCATATTTGGTATTTACCCCATTTTGGAGTCGATAACCCGAATAAAAAGAAATTACGATTAGTATTCGATGCCGCGGCAAAATGTTGTGATATGTCACTTAATGATTTCCTTCTTCAAGGTCCCGATTTATTGCAATCTTTGTACGGTATTATGTTTAGATTTAGAGAGAATCCTATAGGAATAATAGGCGACATAAAGGATATGTTTTTAAGAATCAAAATTCATAGTGATGACCAAAATGCCTTACGATTTTTATGGAAAGAGAAAGGTAGCGGTAGTGTAGGTAAATATGCTATGACGTCACTAATTTTCGGAGCAAACTGTTCCCCATTTATAGCTCAGTTTATAAATCAAAACAAAAACGCGTCGCGATTTAGTGAACAAATGCCAGACGCGGTAAATGCTATAAAAAACAATCAATACATGGACGATTACATAGATAGTGTTACTGATGTAAATATAGCTAAACAATTGATAAAAGAAATTTCATTTATTCATAGTCAAGGCGGATTCCATATGTGCAACTGGCTTAGTAATGTGCCTACCGTTCTCAGTGACATTCCTAAAGACAGCCTTAATGACATGGCAATAGAGTTCAATTTTGCTAAACAAGCAGAACGAGCGTTAGGCATATTGTGGTTCCCGCGCAGCGATGTATTGGCGTTGGACTTATCTTTTAAGCGTATACCCGAAGATATTTTACTTTTTAAACGTATACCTACAAAACGCGAAATGTTACGTATCGTTATGTCTATTTTTGATATTCACGGTTACTTAGGACCATTTACGATTAAAGGGAGAATATTAATGCGTGAAACTTGGAAAAGTAATATTAATTGGGACGATAAATTAACAGATGATTTATATGATTTATTTTGCAAATGGTTAATTCAAGCTAAAGAAATAAATAACATTAAAATTCCGCGATGGTATTTTTCTAGTGATAGCGCTGGCGATACTTTAGCGAGTTTGGAACTTCACTTGTTTTGCGATGCATCGCCGAACGCGTACGCTGCGGTCGCTTATTGGCGCCGGGAAAGCACCGATGGACGCGTTACCGTATCGTTTATCGCTAGTAAATGTAAAGTTACTCCGTTGAAGCCTGTTACCGTGCCGCGACTTGAGTTGCAGGGCGCTTTATTATCATGCAAGTTAGCTAAGAGTATTAAGACAGAACATCGTTTGCAACCGAATTCAGTATATTATTGGACTGATTCTACTACAGTTTTGCATTGGATTAAAAATAAATGTAGATCATATAAAGTTTTTATTGCAAACAGACTCGGAGAAATAGACGAGTTGAGTAAGACGGACGAGTGGCACTATGTACCCACTGCTTTAAACGTCGCGGACCTGGGGACAAAAAATAATGATTACGTATTGAGTAGTGACTCTGAATGGTTTACTGGACCATCCTTCCTGCGCCAACCGCGTTCCTGCTGGCCGCAGCGACCTGAAACAAAAATAATAATTAGTGACGATACATTAGAAAAAGTAAACATTGTTCAAGATAATGTTAATATAAAATGTGACTTACCTGTTCCCGAACCAAGTCGATTCTCTAGCTGGTTACGATTGTTACGTACTACTGCGACAGTATTATTATTTATTGAAAAATGCAAAAAGAGTTCAACAAGTGTAATTAATGAGAAATTAATGAACAGAGCAGAATTATTATTACTTCGTTATTCACAAGTACATTCTTTTCAAGATGACATAAATTCGCTTAGATTAAATAAACAAGTTAAGACAGATAGTCGTTTACGTTCACTTACCCCAATACTAGATGAAAACAATTTGTTGCGCGTAGGTAGCCGTATTATGAACTCCAAGGATGTGGATCAGTATACCAAATGTCCTGTAATTTTAGATGGAAAAGACCATATCGCTCGGCTCATCGTGACCCATTACCATGTAAACGCAGCTCACTCTAGTAACGAGATGGTAGTCAATGAGTTGCGACAAAAATATTGGCTCATTAGACTAAGACCTACGGTTCGTTCTGTAGCTAGAAAATGCCTAATTTGCCGCTTTAAAAAAGCCTTACCTCAGCCGCCGCGCCTCGGTGACTTACCCGAATGTCGACTCATGCATCATCATAGACCGTTTACCATGTGTGGAGTTGACCTATTCGGGCCGATAGAAGTAGTCGTTGGAAGACAAAGAGTGCGTAGGTACGGTGTGCTGTTTACTTGTCTCACAGTACGCGCTGTGCATATCGAGGTAGTTCCGACTCTTACGACTGACTCCATGATAATGGCTTTACGTAGGATGGCCGCTCGCAGAGGTTGGCCACGTACGATGTTTTCTGACAACGGGACCAACCTACGAGGGGCAGACACTGAGCTAAAAAAGGCCTATAAAGAGCTGGTTGACAACCAACAACAGCTAATATCGGACACGATCAATAAAGGAGTTGATTGGAAGTTTATTCCACCGGCCAGTCCTCATATGGGAGGTGCATGGGAGAGGCTCATTAGGAGTGTAAAAACCGCACTAAAAGTAGTTCTCAAAGAGCGCACCCCTAGAGAAGAAACCCTGACTACGTTTCTATGTGAAGTGGAAAATATGATCAATGGACGTCCCTTAACTCATGTTTCTGTGGATCCAAGAGACCCAGAAGCACTAACACCTAATCACTTTTTACTAGGATCGTCATCTAACTTACCACAAATCGGCGTTTTTGACGACAAAGATTTGCACTTGCGGAAGCAATGGCGTATAGCCCAGCGCCTTGCGGATTTATTTTGGTCTAGGTGGATTAAAGAAGTTCTTCCTACCCTGGCGCCTCGCAAGAGGTGGAACCGCGAAGGAGCTCAGTTACAGGTAGGTGACCTAGTTGTAATAACAGATCCCGCTTCGCCCCGAAATATCTGGCCGAAAGGCGTAATACAAGCAGTCTACCCAGGATCCGACGGACGGGTAAGAGTCGTAGCTATCAAAACAAAGACCGGAGTCGTAAAGCGTCCGGCCTCTCGTGTTGCTCTCTTACTATGTGATGAGTGTTGCTCAGACAACACTAAGGGGCAGGATGTTGAAGATGATTAGACGGCCCGCCCGGCGAATAATATTATTATTTTAAGTTAAATGTCATGTTAGTGAAACATAATGTTTTTTGTTATAGGTAACATAATGTTTATTATAAGTCATTAGTACAGACAGTGTATTGATTTGTGTTTGGATTGATTAAATAGTCTGTGGAGCCTCAGCGCGGCATGTTCAAACGGACCAATCGCGTTCGCGTATTTTATTTCGGCGCATGCCCGCACGGCGGCGCGCGGAGCGGTGGCGTTCCGCATCCTGCGTCCGCCATACTTTTTTTTGTTCAGTTCACACGTTTGTACCCGACGACCAAGACGCCCACGCGTGATTGCACGCGCAGAGATGCATGCCCGCTGATCGCTCCCAGTTTAAATCAATAACTGTAGTTTCTCATTTCTTTACCTCGCGCGCACCCGCATCGGCCACATGGTCCATATGTAATAGAGGTTCAGTCAAATCTGGCTAGGACTCAGACTAAGCTTGACTAACGCCTTTTAAAACCGATACCCATTGAGCAACTCACTAAGCACAGTCCAAACACTACCACTATGATTTTGATTTATCGAACCAATAATATCTAGTCGTTACCGCAGACTTCCATATTCTCTTTGTTCTATAGTTTCAAAATGATAAATGATCAGCCACAGCTAGTAAACTTACTACTGGGAATAAAATTTTAACCGATTCGAGGCAACAAAGGTGAAATTGTAATTTTAAAAGTGTAGAGAATGTTAGCTGGCATCCTACTGCAGCAGATGTATGGAAGAGCTTATTTTTGAATCAACTTAGCAATGAATCTTCTTGGTGAACGTGGAAGAATTATTGTTATAATGCATTTGTTGTTATCAAGTGACTTTTATTAAATATTTTTTGAAATAATAGCTAACTGGGGTAAAGAGATTGGAAGCTGCTTGCTAAGCGTGGGGCAAGACAATCCCCCTTAATGATGAAACCATTTTTTATTGTCTTCCATGTAGTAAAAGAGCCAGACTTATAGAAATTGTTGTCCACAGGTGCATTCATGTTCCAAGCGATAGAGGGCGGTAGTGAGTGGAAGGTGGACAAGCAGATGTCACGAGAGCGCAACAACCTGACGCAGTATCTGTGGCAGAACGTCACCCTCGACCTCAACCTCTTCAACGAGACTGCGGTCAAGGAAAGGTGGGTATCCTATACCCACTACATTATACAAATACTCATATTTGTTAATACTGTTAAATTTTTAAATAAGTACTATTATCTCTGTGAGAACTTTAAGTCGAATTATTAACAACTCTATTTTCCATTCCAATATTAATTTCATATTCGTAGTTAATCTCAGATTTTCCTAGAACTTCATCAATAATGAAATTTTACAGAAGAAATACAGATGATTTCATTTAATAATAATAATTATGCATTATTCTTTGATTTTAAATGTGTATTTATTATGCAGGATTGGCAGAGAACTGCGCAACTATCAGACTAAGATAGTGATGGCTGTCCACAAGGGCTGGGACGGTGGCAGATCCTCGCGGCAGTGGAGCTTCTCATCAGCATTCTTGTATTCCCTCACTGTTATTACTACCATAGGTAAGAATATAAGATTACTGACATCATGTTTGGGTCAATGTTGACTGCCTCGTACCGTGCGTAAGTGCCGTTATGTCCACCTCTGCCTACCTCTTCGGTGATAAAAAGCCGTGATGTTATATTATGGTATATTTGGGTTAATTGGTAATGTGCTACTGAACACATGCACTGATTTATAAGCTCTGATGGGATTTACAACTTTACTAGTAAAACCTTAAAATATATTTTTAACACAAAAAAAAACACCACAGAGAGCTGTGGTATTGTCTATTCGTTACTGGTGTGGATTTAGCGTTCAGTTTTAGCCAGATTTAATCATTCGACTGGACTCGTTTGCCCCAAACTACCCGTTACAGGTTAGTTCTGTAGTGTGTGTCTCAATTTTGTTGCTGTATCTACAAAGGTTGATCTGTTGTTCAGGTTACGGGCACCTGTCTCCGAAGACTGACTGGGGCAAGGTGGTGACAATCCTGTACGCACTGCTCGGGATGCCACTGTTCCTGCTCTATCTGACCAATGTTGGTAAGATTTGCAACCATACCCATTTGTACATTTTTGTTATGGCATAAGCCGGTAAACGAGCAGACGGATCACCTGATGGTAAGCAATCGGCGTCGCCCATGAACACCTGGAACACCAGAGGCGTTACAAGTGCGTCACCGGCCTTTTGGGGATTAGGAGTTTGAGGATCGTTGGGGATTCAGGAATTGGGGAGATTGAGGAAGGGGAAGGTAATTGGGCCTCCGGTAACCTCATTCACACGACGAAACACAAAGCAAGCGTTGCTTCACGTCGGTTTTCTGTGAGGCCGTGGTATCACTCCGGTCGAGCCGGCCCATTCGAAAATTCTTATCCAAATCAATTCTTATCAAAATTCCAAAATTCTTATAAAAATAGGTTTTGTTAACGTTTACTAAGTACTGAATTTCTGAGTCTCAGATTATTGAGATTCTAATTTACACATCTTTGTATATGTGTGGTACTTATTGGTGTGTTCTTAATGATAACTGGTTTACATAGTGTGTGTGTTTAACTCTCGTAGCTTTCTGTCTCGCATAGAAAATCTGTGGAATATTGTCAGCGATACTTCCGAACCGATACGACCTTCAAACCTTCAAGAAAAGGGTGTATTTTTTAAAGGCCGGCAACGCACCTGTGGCTCCTCTGGTGTTGCGGGTGTCCGGCGGTGTGGGTGGCGTTGATCGCTTACCATCAGATGATTCGTTTGCCTCGAATAATGAAAAAAAAGCATGCTCTCTGACGAATAGGAGCATTTACTTAAGTGTTTCAATTGTTTATTCTTAGGACTACAAATGCCAATTTTAATTATAAAAGATCCACAAAAATATAACAAAATCAAATTACCATCTTTAACGACTGTAATCAGAAGTTATCGTCGTGTCAGATTTGACTAATAGATATTAATAAATGTAAAATATGGCGGCATTTTCGCAAACGTATAAAAACGCTGACGAGTTCGTCGGGCGGCCATTATTGTGGCCAATCAATGAGGTGGAGTAATCGGAAGGTAATGAGGGACATCATTAAGGTTTTCATAATTGCTTCGATAGATTCTTGCTTGGTAAGATAAGTAAGATAGCTCATTAGATAAAAAAGTAAGAAATTGAGTAGATCTAATGAATTTTTGACGTACAAACGTATTTTTTTTTACTAAACCTATATTTTTTTGACTAGCAGTATTGTTATTTGAGTTTGTGACTGTTGTAGCAGCTACTACGGGAAACTAAAGGTGTTTTTATACAAATGCTTATTTTAAGCACGAAAGCATGCCATATTTTTGTAGACCAGATTGCGCTAGTGTGAACCTCTTGTTTTTCGTCCAATAGGGATGTAGCTAGTGTCACATCATTGGACGTTCAATACTTGCCAGTTGCTGTGATTGGACGAAAAAACCTCTTGCTACATTTATGCTATTTAGAAGAGCGAAGAAAACACGGTAGGGCCCATTGAGCACTTATCACTTAGTAGCATGTATGTCGGGAAATTGCTCAAAAATAGCATACTCATTTCAGGCATGTTTGCGAATCAACAGGGTTTCGATACGGAACGCCTTATAGCATGCTATTTTATAGCATGTGTAACAGTACCTTAATACTTAATTGATAACACAGTATCACAAAACTTCAATTCTTTAAATATTTGCCACATAAACCAACTAGACAGTCTTCAAATAAGTTCCCTATCTTCCTAGAAACTGAGACGTATGTAGGTAGTTACATAATGTTAGTCCCACAATATAACTTTTGACATTACTCTTTGAATTTTAAGGTAGCCATAATTATATTAGAATGCTTTATGAGACCTGCCTCTGCCTTCTTGGAATACTAAGAAAAGATGGATGAAAGGAGTTTGGATGTAGACAGATGGATGTGGAGCGTGATGAGAATGATAGCAGTGGGAAGTAAATTTATTAAATAAAGGTGTGAACATGGTGATGGAGTGATGTATTTCAATGTAAGCGGTATGAAGATCTAATTTGGATTGATTGTTGAAGAGATGGTGTAGAGAATAATAATAAAATTGGGGCATAAAGGAGTTTAATAATATGTATCCGTAAGTTATTAAAATGCTAACTCTTGGTAGGCACAGATGCTTTTGTTACATGTAACACTTAGTAATTTCGAATAACATAACACCACGCCTTTTTATCCCTGAAAGGGTAGGCATGTGTGCACATCACAGCGCACTTCACACAATACAATGTGACACCCACTTTTCACTATTTATGTTATGAGTCCCATGTAATAGGGGGAGGAGCCTATTGCCATATACCGGGCACAATTCCAGACTCCATGTTACTGCTGAGATTTTTTTTTAAACCCAGTGATACTTTGCTAATCCCTGGAATCGAACCTGAGACCCCTTGCCCGGCAGTTACACTTGCAACCACTCTGCCAACGAGGCAGTAATTTCGAATAGATAGTCAAAGTCAAAGTCAAAGTCAAAGTCAAAGTCAAAATCATTTATTTCAATTAGGCCAGAATGGCACTTTTGAACGTCAACAAAAACAAAAATTTAAAGTGAAGCTATTTGCTCATTCCAAGGCGTAGATTCCTATGGAGAAGAACGAGCAAGAAACTCCATAGGTTACTCTTTTTCAATCAGGTTCACAATACAATTTACTAGTTACATAGTTTTGCTGTTTGGATTGTGCGAGAACAATGTAACACTAAAATCCAGTCAAAGTGATCAAAAAAGAAAATAACCTTAAGGACAGTAATACAGTCTGGAGCTGACCAGTCCCAGTTGACGGCGCCCGCTCACGAACACGACACGTACACCAGCACCGCCCAACTCAACCATATTGTAGGGAATCGAGCGATCCACTGCACGCGCCACCGCCAATGAGACCTTTGAGTGAGCATGACAACTACAAGCTGACACAAATGAAATCCACTAATCCAATTCAATATCAAGTCAATTACAGGGCTCTCACATTTACAATGGTTATCTAAGTTAAACAACATACAATTTAGCAATATGGCTGTATTATTTACGATTTCATTAAAACAAGTGTTTTTAGTTATCCTGTGGAGCCGGACTAGCCTGCATCCAAGCATTTTTATCCTCTATATATTCATTAAGTTTGTAATATGCTTGTCCACATAAAGTTTTCTTTATACATAATTTAAATTTCGATTCATTTAGTTGTTGTACATCGCCTGGTATCTTATTATAACATTTAACACAGAATCCCATGAACGACTTACTTACTTTCGCTAATCTCGAAATTGGCTGACTTAATCTATTCTTATGTCTAGTTTGATAGTGGTGTCTGTCCGACACTTTACCAAATAACTGTAGGTAGGATAACCTTTTTTATGAACTCCGTGTCATAGAAGATGAGTCTATTGGACATAGTACAAAATTTCAGACTCCATGATAATGTCAATTCCATGATAATGGAACAGAGAGTATAGTTCCCTAAGATCGGAAAAGGAGGATCCTCCGACCAGACGAGGTGATCGTGCCTGGCGGGCTTTCTGCCCAACAGTTGTTCGTTGGGATTTTCTATCCGTGTTTATTCACTTGTAAACTTTGCATGTGCGATGTATGTTTCTTGTGACGTCATCCGTTGACATGTGGCATGCGTCGCCACAAGTACCTACATTAAACGCCATGGAGGGCATCGGTGAACGACGTTACCGGAGAAATTGGTTTTCTCTATTGATAGTCAAAGCCTGTTGCCTCAAATTCTGTTACTAGCCAACTTGCAAAAGTATGAAAATAATAATAGGAAAATTCGGTTATTCATAATAAAATCCACGTGATTGTACCGTACAGAATGACAGAGCAATCACGTGGCGACGTTTGAACAGAAACAATAGAAACGTTTCATTTCTCATTTGATCAGAAGCTCTACGTGTTTACTCTGACTTCGGAAGGAAGTTGTCATTTTTATAAACACATCAAACAAAATGTAATGTTTAACAAACAGCTGTTATTGTAAATTCCATTTGGACAGCTAGCGAGACGTTTTATTTCTGATATCTGATCGTACATTTTGTTTTAACGTGTATCAAGTGGCCCTTTTTCTAAGAAGTACGGGTCTCACATACGCTTCGATAATATGGTTTTTGTGAAGCATTTAGCTTTTCTAGGAAATGTTTTCCAGAGTAATAGATTGTGAAACGACGCGGATTTAGTTACGTTTCTTATGTTCTCACTCGATAAGCTCTAAAGGTGTTCGATATGTATGACTCATAACTTATGGGAATGTTATTATCCCTGTCATTTTAATAGAGGGAAGAGTTACACTTACCATAATATTATTTGTATCGAACTCAACTACGAATCGTTCGAATCACCGACAGCAAGATTTGTTCTCCTCTGAACTTTCGATTGATTACTGCCATCGGTTCTTATCTATCAGCTAAGAATAAGCTGCGAATCGTCGCGACGTCAATACGTCAGTATACTACTGTTTGTCTGTCTTTAACCAATCTTAAACTTTATTGTTCGGAAGTAAAGTAGAAAATCGGATAATTGTTATAGGGACTGCCTGTACGTACTTACAAGTTTGACTAGGTAGAATTTAAGGGACTTCATTCAATCGCCCATGTTACGCGCGTATCACAAATCTTAGAAACTTTTACCTTTGCCCATTTAGTGTAGGTAAATAGGGTCCAAAATGCTATAAACCATTAAGGTAACACCTACATTACAAATGAGCACTTATTATTTTAATATTAATCCAATTTCTTTTTCTATTGAAAAACAAAGAACAGTGTAATTTGATTGACTCGGTTCATTAAAACAATTAGTTTTGTTTTTTCTTTGAAACCACTTCTGAATGTACTCGAAGTAATAGTCGCAGGTTGAAAACAATTACACTGGATAAATAACCTAATTAAATTCTAGAATTTTTTAATCTGGAAACAATGGAGTGGATATCTATAGGTAATTGGATTTCTAGTTTTATTGTCTAGGCCTTTCAAATGACCCTCATTCAGCCGACATTTTGGATCACCTTTCTTTTGATAATGGTTTTAATTCTACTAAAGCTTTTAAGAATCAGTATAGGCTTAAACTTTAAGTAGACTGCCTTTGTGTCGTAGAGGTATAATTGCATTAGAAAAACTGGTCCTTATGTATACGTATTGTTGGGATCAAAGGACTAAAATTTTCTTTGGTTAGATTATTCGTAAATGCTTTTTTAAAGGTGGAGTATATTTATTAATGTTTTTGTAATAACTATCGTGAGACACACACATAACTACATAAACTGAATTAAGTAAAATTGACAGGTTACTCACGTGAGTATATTGAGAAAATCTCTACTAGTTTCTTGGCTGGGTTACATTTATATATTTAGTTTCATATCTATGCGTCGCAAGTGCGACTGCCCAAAAAGGGTTCATTGCCCATTTCGGTGATGGGAAAAATGTTCATAGACTGTTTAGATTTTTGAAAGTTCCCTTTAATATCACAGAGCCGCTTCCAGCTCCCATTAATTGGGATTATTTTGTAACTATAAAGATATATACTTGCAGGTGAGCTGTTGGCGCGATGGTTCAAGTGTATCTACGCCCTGGTCTGCCTGTGCAGGGGCTGTCCAGGGTTCACAAGGAGAAGAGCCGCCAGGTTACGGCTTCAGGTACCTATATAACTTTCTTTATTTCTTTTATTATCATAAACAAGAAGATAATCCGTTGCTGAATAATGATCGTTACTTTGAAAAGAGGGTGATTTAATAATTTCTTGAGGAGTTTTCTTGAACGCCGGTATATCACCAAACTGTTTAGGGGACGATACTGATCATCCTTAGGTGGCTCTTAGTTTAGGACACATCCCGCGTTAAATGAATGTAATTGTAAACTAAAAATCGCGGGATACTCACGTGAAAATACTGAGAAAATAGGAGTAGGCTGCGTGACATCATCGCGACCGCGCACACTGCTTATGAGGAAGACCCCCTCTGTGGTTCGAAACTAGTAGAGCTTTTCTCAGTATATTCCCGGGAGCAACCTGCGGCTTTTAGTTAATCCAGTATTTCTCATAGTTATTACTATAATAAGAATGTTATTGTTTCTTTTTTTTTCGAATATTGAGATATTTTGAAAGTATTGTAGGTATAGTGCCCAACAAAACTGAAAACCGACGTAATTTGTTAATGTTTAATTTATTAATTAGTTTTTCTACAACACATTAATACTTCTTAATGTTTCCATTAATCTTAGTAACATATACCTCAAGATATAAATATATATAAGAAGATAGAATTTACTAAAAGTACATCGTCAATTCATCAGTTACGAAACTGATGCTCGATGAGTGGGCTACGTGGGCGAGTCTATTTACTATGAATTAGACTCGCCTGTTTGACTGCGCCGTGACAGATAGAAATGTTCTGTCACTAACATGGTGGAAAGTGTTGAGCGATGTATACATTCGTATAAATATTTGTCTATGGATCTGGTGAAGGAAACCCATGTGTTACTCGTTAATTACATTATTCATCTGTAGTGTTACTGTAGAGCTAATATAAAGATTAAGATTGATTGTACAAAAAAGTCTCTTATATGATTCCTAGATTTAGCAAAAATTCATTAGAATTTTTTAACTGTCAGATCAAACGTCAGATTAGGAGTGTTGAACCTAGGACTCCATTTTCGTTTTTTTATTGGATAACCCGGTAAACGCCCAGACGGATCAGGTGATCCGTCTGGTGATAGTAAGCAATCGGTGTTGCCCATAGTCACCTGGAACATCAAAGGCGTTATAGGTACGTTACCGACATTTTGGGATTAGGAATTTGAGGATTGTTAGGGATTCAGGGATTGGGGAAGGGGAGGGGGATTAATTTGGGCCTCCGGTAACGTCACTCACACGACAAAACACAATACAAACATAGTTTCACGTCGGTCTTCTGTGATGCCGTGGAATCAGACCGTTCGAGCCGGCCCATTCGTGCCGAAGCATGGCTGTCACACATTCGTCAGACAGTTTCTGTAAATAACGTATCTAATTATAAATATAAACTACCTATGGGGTCACCTTGACAGTGTAATCAATATGCCGAATTGTGAAATCTTTTAATTAGCAACCAAATATCTGTAACTCTATCTAAATATAACCACAAACATTGTGTCAAAAGAAACGTCCATACAATAACCCCAAAATCAATCTCTAATATCATATCTCCTTCACTAATATTGTTAGCGGTTACCATAGCAACGGCCAGCGATGGATTGACCAATCAGGAAAGGCTAAAAATACATCCGTCAAGAGCTATGATAGTTAGAAAGATAGCGAACTTATCATCAATGTTGACATTTAGATTAAAGGAGGATATAGATAGATAATGAAGACCGTAGTTACCCTTATCTTCGTTAAGTGGCTCCCTATGTACACGTGTAAGAATTCAAGGTAATGGTTTGTTGAAGGAAATGTGGTTGTTAATTATGAGGCACGAGATTCTTGTCAATAATTTAGCGAAGTATTAGAAATTTTGGCATTGGATATAACCTTTTAAAATTGATCCGAAACACTGTTGTTATCATGACTAGCGTATATATGTGATTAGAGTATTGTAAATATATATTTCTTACTTTTTTGAGAATAAGGTAGCCTCATTCAGTCTGTAATTTCATTACTATAAGCTCGGGTTTACATCTTACACAGTTACGCAAAGATCTCCTACTACAGAAGAGTTTTCCATAATCACCAAACTTGGCCGACCACTTGGAGATGCAGCTAAGATCACTATAATAAAATTATTAATTCCAAGTAACGTTTTTATTTTGCAGTATGAGTTAAGTGAAGCAGAAAGTATAGAGCGGCCGCAAGCGTGGAGGTCGCGGTACCCAGAGTCTGACGTCACGCCGGACTACGTGGTCCCACCAGGGAGGTACCCACCTCCGCGAGGGTATCCTAGGTAAGATATAGTAGTAATAAATATGTTTATTTTTTTAAAACACTACATTAAGTTTTACTTCTGTGATCTCCTGTATTGCGGATGATTTGTTTATGAAGACAAATTTCAGATACACATCATACTCAGGAGCGGAACAACGATTAGTGGATCACTCAAATAATTGACTGCACGGTTGGTGCGGTGGCTGGGCAACCGGCTGCCGTACAACGTGTCGCGGGTTCGATTCCCACACGGAACAACACTTTGTGTGATCCACAAATTGTAGTTTCGGGTCTGAGTGTCATGTGTATGTGAACTTGTGTGTTTGTAAACGCACCCACGACACGGGCGAAAATCCTAGTGTAGGGCAACGTTTTTAAAAAATATATATATTATGTGGGAATTGACTGACTGACTGCTGTATGTAGTGTAGTCTTAACTCTTTTTTAGTAAACAAAGAAACAATCACACACATACATTTTATATATACAAGAAATTTAACCCACTATAAGTAGCATCGCAGTCTTGCACTAGTTCATACGTATACTATCAATGTCTTTACTCAGTCAACAATTCGTAAAACATCAATACTTTTGATTTGATCCAATGATCCAGATGCATTATATCTGCAGTTGTAATGGAGTGCATGTGAACGGCGCCATGTTTACGATACTGCGCTATTTGAGGACGTCACTGGCCAGCCCAGCCCAGAGACATAGTATATGTGCCAATACAGTTCAATGCTGGATTTACTGGCTGTCTATCAACATAGTTTACTATCTTAGAACTGGAATATGGACTGTTGTTTGTATACTAGTTTTATAAAAGTTTGATTGTATGTGTGAATAGGCTCCGAAACTGATAGTCCGATTTTTTTATGGGATAAGCGTATAAACGAGCAGACGGTCGGTAAGCGATCGGCGTCGTCTGTGGACACCTGGAACACCAGAGGTGTTATAAGTACGTTACCGGGAATTTGAGGATTGTTGGGGATTCAGGGATTGGGAGAAGGGGGGGGGGGTAATCTCACTCACACGACGCGTCGGTTTTCTGTGAGGCCGTGGTATCACTCCGGTCAAGCCGGCCCATTCGTGCCGAAGTATGGCTCTCCCACACTTATTTTTTCAATAAATTTTCCTCTTTGTGAAAAATCGAAAACAAAAATTGTAACTGTTGTTTTTGAAAGGCTTTTTGAAATAACAGGCTTTCTTTTTATTTATTTTTTCGTTATTGGTAAAGTTATATTTAGGCAATAACATAATAGTTTAGCTACTACTATTAAACTTCTAAATACAAAGATTGTATCTACTTTTTATGGAATATGGCGGTGAGCATACGTATCAACTGGTGGCAACCAATTATCACCGGAGAAGTTATAAGAGAATAGAACCGTCTAGGTTACAAAATTTAGGTAAAAACAGCCAAAGAAAAAGGCATCTAACTTTACTTGACATACAATTCTTTTTAGATTGCTCGTAAGAAGTAGTACAGGGATATAAATGTTATGACTCTTGTATTTACTTCGAGTGGTGTTGTTAGTGTCGTTTCGTGTTCTTTGATACCAACTGTCGTATAGGGAAGTTGTGAAGTGTGTTTATTGTATTGTTGAATTTATTTATTTTGATATTACTGTCGTATGAAACTTATAGTATGACAGTTTAGGTGTATGAAAGTTAAAAGAGGTTCACATTTACGGAACCTCTTTACCGAATTTAGAAGAATCGGCAATGAGTATGTGTTAATAACATGTTTTAAAAGTTAAAACATAAGTAAAAAGCATACATTTAGATTCCATACTTCTTTCATAACAAAACGTCACTCCATTTATCTCCGAAGGGGTAGGTAGAGGTACAGGTTGCGGTCACAGTCAAAGTAACACCCACCTTTCACTAATTACGTTATGAGTCCCTTAATTACAATAGGGGGTGAGCCTATTGCCATATACCGGGTACAATTCCAGACTCCGTGCTACTACTGAGAATTTATTTAAAAAGCCCAGTAATACTTTGCTCGATCCGGGAATCGAACCCGAGACTAAAACAATCCATCAGTATACACGTACCTGCAAATCTGCATGATATCAACACATAGATCTGCAAGCTGATTCCAATTCGGTATTTAGAACTGAACGCGCACAGATTGTACAATTTGCATGCTCATTACGGACGGAATGCCAAACTTGCAAACTATGTTATTTCTTGTAGTTCCCAGCACTCAAAACTATGCAAAGTTAGATTAGTAAAAGTAAGTTCAGTTCAATAGCTAGTGTTTGTTCACAAGTCTTGTGGTTGGAATCAAACTCCGCACAAGTTGTCTAATAAAACTGGCCGCCTGCAAGTTTGTGCCTGCACAATCAGTGTTTCATGCTCTCCGGAGTAAAGAACCAACTTCGGTCGTGGCCAGTGGTCGTGGTACTTACAGAAACCGCGCTATGAACTTTTACAAAACAACTTTCTTATGAATAAGTGTTTGAAACGCAAAATAAAATACATCGTCTCGTTGGATGAAGTGAGGCTTAAACTTAAGTTTTATTCTATTCAATTTACAAGTACCCATCGTCGCAATGTCTAAGTAAAGAAATGTACAATTGTATGCGAATGACAAGTTGACTGAGAGACGCAGAAGTGATTGTATAATGGTAACTAGAATTCTCGTTTTAGTATAAAGCTAAACAATGAATTCCCAATATTCTCAACGTACTAGTAATGCTGATGTAATATCGCGTAATCTACAGATATGGCCGCCGGTCGCCTGTCTATTGCAGTCTGCAGTTAATATTAATTAATTCCTACATACGTTTGCATCGATTACACGAATAATTATTCAGCAACTGACTGCAATACTGTTTATCATAGCTGATTAAGCGCAAATTAACTTTGGTGGCACTCAATACCATAATATACTACAACTTTATTGCAAATTGGTGAATAATTTTACCCGATAACCAATCATAAACTTGATATTTTGCAGTAAAAATAACATGAAAATCTTTTACAAAGTAAATAATAACGTTATCCAGTGGCTGATGTTCATTAATTTGGGTTAATTAATGGTTCCCGTATCGGCTCTTTATGGTTTTATCGCGAACAAAAAGTGTGGGAGTTACTAAGACAATCACAATCTTCCTTGAATCGCAATCAGTTTGAATTAAACATAATCTTCAAAACGTTTTAAGATAAAAGCGAGTTAAAATAAGACTAACGATGCTTGACAATTACGGATTCGGAAATGGTTTAACCACGCAGTATAATAATGTTTGCGTAAGACGAAATTATTGTCAAAGGAGGGAGTATCTCAGCCGCCGCCGCAGCCGCTGTAGCATTTTAAAGAATTTCTTTGAAGGCTTAATGAGATAGACATCTTTAATGAATTAGATGTCTCCCGTAATAAAGTTACAGCTGTGTGTAAGCCACTTAATTTTACAAGCTTTACGACTTGGGTTTAGTAATAAAACGTATAATTAAATGTGGCATGTAATTAAATAAAGACTGAATGAAGTGCTTCATGAAATACTCTGTTATTATTATTATAATGTAATCTGTGAGATGTGGGGAGAAGAGGTCAATTAAATTAGAATTATGTGATTACCAATGAGGTTATTGTCATTTTGAAATCTATTTCTGTTACTGTACATGTCATTGTTTAATGTGAGATACCTGTCTTTGGTCCACATCAATATTATTTGGAAGCAGCTAAGAAAGAAAAGGAACATTTTTTTCGCAATTAACTAAAGTCTTAGTCTTTATTTGTTCCTCTATTTCAGAAGACCAGACTATATGCGCAGTATATCAATGCCGCAGCCGTACGACCCGCGAGTGCCCCGCGTGGACCCGCGGCGCGGGTGCTCGGAGCCCGCGCGGCCCGCAGAGAGCCCGCCCTCCAGTGACTTCAGCTACGTCACGTTCGATGCTCAGACCATCACAGTACCTATCAGTGTCTGTGTGTCCATTATGGTTGGGTGAGTAGTTGATAATTAAGAATTAAGGCTAACTTGGTTGAATATTTCAATACCCAAGGTATGAAACAAGGTACAAGCGAGTTTGATTACACTATTGTATTACAACTACCCTTGAAATATTCACAATAAACAACTCTAAAATGTATTGTATATTTTAACTAAAACTATGTAAGCACTTCTGTAATATTTTATACATACTAGACAAAATTTTGTTACCTGAGGTCCGTAGGCTACCGAATATGTGTCTGTATGCTGAATATAGAGAATTCCCTGAAACCCCAGAGCGTGCCAGCCCCGAGATAAAGTGGAAACATTTTTCGGTATTCAACGTGGAAATGGAACGAGAGAACATAAAAAATAAATTAATTTCACTGTCCCAACTAGCCAGAGGGGGAAAAGAGTTAGTGTTTATTAAGCATCGAGTTTCGTGATATTAAATGGAAGCCATATTGGAAAATCTAGGTTTATTTGGCGAGTCTCGTATTGCTCTTATTGAGAAATTAATTTCATATTTCTAGTTTGTCAGCTATTAAAATTCTTTAGACATGTAATAATAGATTGGTGAGATTATTCATGTCTAGTACTTAGTTTCTCATTTTGAAGTGTTTTGGAATGGTCATAATGAATTGTTGTGACTTGAAGGTATTTCTGTTATTAAATAGCAATTTGTAATTATTTATATTTAAAAGGTTTATCTACGAGTTCAAATATTTTGATAGGCAGAACCTTCATCAACTAGAATTCATTTGGAAAGGATTTTATTATTCGTTTTAAAGTGACGTTTCTGTTCGGAATTAATAGTAAATACAAATGAAATTGCCTGCTTTATCGTCATAACGACAGCTTAGTATTAATTAGAAATATCTGAACAGCAGTGTTATTAATATTTCATTATTTGAAGACACGATACCTACTGTCAAGGTTTGTGATTTTCCTTAACTTGAGATGAATGACAAGGTGAAGCAGAATATTGTTTTCGAATTTAATAAAGGGTCAAAGGTCACGTTGTTTTTCGTGGAATTTGTTAGGGAAGGTATGTCGTTGCTACAAACGAAATACGACCTTCGTGTTATTGTTGAGGATTCATGTTCTATTAACAACACATTTCTACCCTTTGACCTCACTTGTGACCACAGATCTAAAAGCCAGTCAACTGTGATTCAAGTGCCTATTATTTGAACTTATGTTTATCATGCAATTTGTATTGTGTGGACAACAAACTAAATCTAAACTAAACAATAAACTAAACCCATTTTCTAAAATTGAATATAATCAATTAAAAGTTTGCTCTAAAACTTTATCTTTATGAATCTCGTCTGCGGCTATCGAAATAAAAGTCAAGGGTTTTGAAGTTATAAAAGGTTCAAGTTTTAGTTTTTGTTAGCACTTGACGTCGAATTGTATTAATAAATTTGATTTAGGTGATAACTAATAACCAAAAAAAATACATAATGCTTTTTATCCCTGAAGAGGTAGGCAGAGGTGCACACAGAAGTAACACCCACTTTTCACTATTTATGTTATGAATCCCATGTAATAGGTAGGTAGGGTGAGCCTATTGCCATATACCGGGCACATTTCCAGACTCCGTGCTACTACTGAGATATTTTTTTAAAAACGGGAATCGAACCCGAGACCCCTTGCCCGGTAGTTACACTTGCGACCACTCGGCCAACGAGGCAGTCATAACTAAATAACTATCAATTGCCCCTAGTCTTCTCGTGGGTCCTGTAATTTTCGATTTTGGTACAGACCGGGTAACAGCACTCTGATTAACCAGAACCTTTTAAACTGTAACTGCAAAATCTGTCTTCTCCAACCCGTCTGACACACGTAGAAATTATAACCAATATTATAACAAAGTTCTCTTATGTAGAGGAGACCCATAATCTAGCAGTGGACTGATATCGTCGATGACTGCACGGTTGGCGCGATGTCTGGGCACGGAACAACTCTTTGTGTGATCCACAAATTGTTGTTCCGGGTTTGGGTGTCGTGTGTATGTGAACTTGTATGTTTTGTAGACGCACCCACGATACAGGAGAAAATGTCAGTGTGCAAAGATTAAAAAAAAATGTTGATGTTATAGGTTTTGTGTTTTACTTCCAGCCCTTGTCTTATATAACTTTAAAAAATAATATTCCTTTTGTAACATACCAAACTTTTATTTATTTATTCTCTTTATACTGAACTCGACCTACATTGAAAGGTGGCAATGAATGTGTTACTTTCCAATCTACTAGACTTTGTACAAGGATTTCGAAATTGATTATCTGTTGGAACTAGATTCTAGACCGACCGGTCGACCTTTGTAGGAATTGTAGGTCGTAGGGCCCTTGTTTAGTGGTAGACTAATGAGTCAGCAATTAATTTAGTCCTAATGTTTACAGGTACATAATGTTCGGGTCTATGATCTTCGGAATGTGGGAGAAGTGGGACCAGCTCGACGGAGCCTACTTCTGCTTTATTTCACTTAGCAGGTACGATTACGTTACTAATTACTTATTCTTTGAAAAATCCACCTCTATTCAATTAAATTTCGATATGAGTCTTGTGTATAAGGTCATTTTTTAGGTTCTTGAGTGAATGACAAATTACAGTTCTCTTGGTTCTATATTCAATGGTGAAACCCGCATCAGATTCCGTTCAGTGATTTTTGAGATTGTTGCATATAAATAGAGAAACAGACGCACTGATGGACTTTGTTTTTGCAAAACAATTCTGGCAATAATCTATGAACTTGTATGTAAATCTTAAAGATGCTTTAAGGTTTACATACAAGTGGCAAGTTGCAGTTCGCCATGAAAGACTAAGGAGGAGGCTTTTGTTCAGTAGTAGATGTCTTCTGGCTGATGATGATGATAGAGCTCTTATTGAACTTTGCCTAATGTACTATCTGCCCCACAGCATTGGTTTCGGTGACTTCGTCCCCGGTGAGCGCGTGTACACGGCCCGCATCGAGCCGTCTTTCATCGTCTGCTCGCTGTACCTCATGCTCGGCATGGCACTCGTCGCCATGTGCTTCAACCTCATGCAGGTAAGCAAGCACTGGCCCTTATATATCTTTATTAATTTTAAGGTGACATCAGACAAAGATAATAGTTCTAACAATGTGACAAAAGATGGTGTGCCTGACGTTATGACCAATCTGGAAATTGAATTGATGAGACAATTTTGAGCATGACAGTAATGAAAACATATTGTAGAGATTAATTAAAGTTAAGTGACCAAAACAAAGTTACTCCACCGTGTCTAGAAACTAAATACTTTGACTTTGACTTTGACTAAAATAAAAGATATGAAGTATGGTTACTTTTTTGGTCCTTGCAGTCGCAATATGTCAATAGTTGAGTGTTCCTTTAACATTCATAATTCATTTGATAAGCAAAACACTTTGTTAAACACTAAATTGCAGCAATAACTCTCAGAATTCTGAGGGCTTAGTACGAGTTTCTTTTTCGTTTAAAGTAATCGTAACGAGTACGCGTTCGGCGCTGTGATTGGCCGGCTCTAATGAACCAACCAATCAGAGCACAGAACGCCGTCTCGTTTCGTACTTTAAACGAAAAAGAAATTCGTACTAAGCCCTCTGTTAGATACTATAAGACAATTTTTTTTTTTTTTTTTTTTTTTTTTAAATAAACGTTGCCCCACACTAGGATTTTCTCCTGTATCGTGGGTGCGTTTACAAACATACAAGTTCACATACACATCACACCCAGACCCGAAACAACAATTTGTGGATCACACAAAGTGTTGTTCCGTGCGGGAATCGAACCCGCGACACGTTGCACGGCAGCCGGTTGCCCAGCCACCGCACCAACCGTGCAGTCAATTCACTCACAGTTTCGTGAAAAGTCAGAACAAATACCAGGCAAACAGAAAAATTCTAGAAATTTCGTGATTTTAGTCACGTCGTGTCGTATCGCATGCGTGGCGAATATGTAAAATGTTTAACTTTTTTACTGACGTGGATATATTTCGACAGGAAACGAATACAACGTCCATACATTTATCATTGAATTCTTTTTATTTGATTCGGATATTCTGACGCCATGATAGCAGTAACGTGTTTTTTGTAGCACCATATATTGAATATGGACTAAAACAATTTGTTCTATTAAATGATTACATGTTTCAATTTATTAGTTTTATTATATGCGTTATGAGTGGGCGCATTTGGTGTACTTTTTTAAACTGAATACAGGTGCATTGCGCATATGACCGGTGCATAAATTTTGCACAAAACATAAAATGGAATCACGTACAAAGTATATTATATTGTTTGACATAACCACGTTTCTGAAGACTTGTTTATTATACAACTTCTATGTTCAATTCCTATGTAAATATAATAGTCAAATAAATAAGAAATATGTACATTTTTATAGGAACAAGTAATGCACTACTACGCGGGTCTCAAGCGAGCTGTGAAGCGACTGGGCCGCTGCAAGAGATGACAAAGCCTTGTAAATATTGTACATAGACTAGTATACGCGAAAATATATCATATGTTACACTTAATAAAGACTTATTTCCTACGTTCCTGTATGTTTTATTTATCACTGTCTTTTTTATTGTGTTGTACAAGATGTTTGTATGAAATATTGAAATGTTATGTAGTGGCTGAACGTGTTTTGCTTTTGTAGTAAAATAAATGTTTATAACACATAAAAGACCTGACTTTTCGCGTAGTTTTGTCCATAAAATAAAGAAAAAATATAAATTGACGGCTATCGTATCAACACAATGATTACGTCAAAAACTACACTAGCGCCACCTATGATCCGCAAAGTTTATAATTATGGGTATGGCAGTTATATAGTATGTATTTTTTCTGAATCATGTAAACATTGGGTTGTAACTAATCCATGTTTGTCATGGGAAAACCAACCCCTCTCGTGTATCTGTCACTCACTAACCCTCCGTATCTGTACACAGATTCACGTCACTCTGTCACTCAATTTTGACATTAAAGGAGGGCAACAAACAAAAACTGCATATTGTAACATAATGACACGGATCATTGCCTCGTTGACTGTGTGGACACGATGTCGACGTCATGTTCGATATTTTGATAGTTCCGAGAAAACTTACCGATAAAGTTCCACTGAACTGAAATTTTTAGTTGAACTAACTTTTAGCTGGAAACCCAAAAACGTAAAAGTAATGGATTGAAGTTAGTGTACTGCGGCTGCACCGAGCTCCACAAGTTATCATCGTAAAGGCAGAAATACATTACCGCGCCGTGTTATGGCACCGTGGTACCGCGACCTACGCGACACGACACGTAATGCAGGTGCATTTCTAACCATAATAAATCATTATGAAACCGATATGATAAATGCTTCTGGCGCGTCATGCCACGATAATGTGTTTCTAACTTTAGTGTAAGTTAATCTTGTTATTATACCTATGATATTTACCAAGGATCTTGTAAAAAAAGGATGACACAGTCTCTTGAAACAACGACTGTGGCACCTGGCTACTATAGACTTACATATAGAATACACACACATAGACACGAAGGACATCTGTCGCCTGACATGACCCGTCATTACACTTCATGAATTACGTTGTTGCAAGTACACGCACACATAAATACACCACTGATATTTTGGTGCTTTAACCATTTCTAAGTGTCATTACGTCCGCCTTTTTGAGCGTCCTAGGTATTTACATAGTTACTCGTATCGGATCAGTGTATCTAACTTTTCTCAAACAATTTCAATATGTTTATCTTCCCAGAGCTGCATGTTTCGAGCAAACGTGTGAGTTGTGAAGTTGTTTCTAGTTAATGTTTGTTGTAAATTAAGCTGCTATTTCTCCTAGCTTCGCAAACATATACCTTTATATGTGTACAAGTCCAGTATATTCGTTTAATCCTTGAAATTAAATGGGTATGTCCTCAGAACGCGGCAACTACTTTTAAGCTAAATATACGTCCAATTAAAGCCGTTACAAGAACATAACACGGATTTGTAGAAATAAGTAGCGTCGGGAGACCGGGGCTCACAGAGGTGCAGTTGTAAGGAAAAATCCACAATTCTTCCTCCATCCGCCACTTACTAACATTGGGTGCTTAAGAATGCACTGCATTCGTTCTGCTTGGCACTCCTTGCTAGGATTCAGTGGGACGTGAAACCGCTCTGAATGGACCCTTTTGTACCGCGAGTTTTTTCCACAAGACGTGTGCACTGTGCACTGTGCAGTGTATGTGAGAGCTATTCTCAAGCGTGCTCACTGGTATATGAATACTGAAGGCATTCACGCTCTTCAATTATTCTGGTTTGTATAACTCCTGAGTATTTGCACAGTAACGCTTTTGCGGTTATTCTGATTTAGCTGTAATTGTATAGTGGATAGCCTAATTGAATATAACTTAGTTTAGGTACAAGCGAGGCTGAAATGTTTAAGTTTCCAACCTATTAAATATTTAGTTTAATCTTATTGGAATTAGACAGTTGAGCCTTGTTCATTGGATTTAAAATAACTTTGTAATTGATAATTAAAGGAACTGTTTGTTTGAGTTTGAAAAATTCTGGTTCATTTGCGAAAGATGTTCGATTTTAGGTCGTGATTTTTCTTTGACTTGACTTGTTTCTTACATAACACCAGTAAACTATAAAACATTGTATTTGTTATTGTCAAATGATATTTCTTCAAATATAAACTTGATGTTAGAGCTTTGAATCTGCAGCTCGTGTAACTACATAGATGTAAGTGAACTAAACAAGTTAGAGTAAGTTGAGGAATCCGTGCGACAACATGTCGTATTAATTGAAGTACGGAACCGTGAGTGTGTTAGTTGGTATAGTGCAAAGTTTATGTTCTACGCTTTTTGCCGGCACCCCGCGCCCCGCGACCCGCGCCCGCGTGAGGTGCACTTGAATGCATTAGTTCCTGAGGAGCTATAAGTTCAGCGGTTGTCTTGTGACCGTTGTAAATATAAGGTAAAAACTCTTAAAGGAAAATCCTTCGCTAACGTCCATCGTTTAATGTTTCAATAGAAAAGCAAAAATTTGTAATGGTAAAGAATGCTGTAGTAGTAAATATTAATCTTGGTCAAATCATAAAAAATAATATGTTAATAGGACATAAAGTTGTGGCACAATACAAAGGGAACACTTCAAAATGTGTTACGTTGATTATTTAATTAAATTCTAAAGCGGTTTAAGTACCAAGTCACAAAATTTCCATTTAGCAGTTACTGCCCATGTTTGTGGGAGGGCCTGGACACGTCAGCCTTTTATTTATTACTGTAAAGAAACCTTTCCCCTAATATAATTTAGTACTTTGGCCGGATTTTACAAGCATTTTATTTGCCACCCCGCATTATGATCTCGTAAACCTAAACCTCCGCGTCCATCAAACGACGTGAGTAAAAATACGTTTTATGTTTAAATATAAACAAGTGCGATGAAATGTTTTAAGTTCCGCCGGCTTCATGGCCCGACTACAAGAGGGTGTGCTATAAACTTCGGCGCTCAGTAGAATTGCTCGCACAAATTAAAGAGGTTAGTGGAGAAACTTGGCGATTACTCCGCCGCACTGCCATACGTTTTGGTCGGTTTAAAACTTTCACCATTATGAGAATAGCTGACTATTTATTTTATTTGAGGTCATGTGCAACTAACTCCCCTGTGAGTTCAGCTGATTTTTCTTCAAAGATGTGTTGTTGTTATTTACTGCAGCTTCGAGTAGTTTCATTATCTTTGCAGCAAACAGTGGAAGATGGGTCGTTACGGCAAATAAATGTCTCGCTTAATAGTTTTATCTATTTGTAAGTAGCTGTAAGCAGAACCTTGGTTTAATCACTAGTATGACTATTAGTCTTTCTTTTTCCTGATCTATACATAATGCCAGCTTTTTACAGTTTGAGACGTTCTGTAAAACGTGTCATAGATGATAGACGGCCTCACAGAAAACCGACGTGAAGCAACGCTTGCGTTATGTTTCGTCGTGTGAGCGAGGTTACCGGAGGCCCAATTACCCTCCTCCCCTTTCCCCAATCCCTGAATCCCCAACGATCCCCAAACTCCTAATCCCCAAAAGGCCGGTAACGCACTTGTAACGCCTTTGGTGTTCCAGGTGTCCATGGGCGACGCCGATTGCTTACCATCAGGTGAAAAGATGAGGAATAGTCTACGCATGCACGTTTACCGGCTTACGCCGAAAAAAAAAATAGATATTTGGATTTACAACAGTGCTCTCTGTGATACGAGGGTTAAACACTGCTGGATTTCTTGACTCATGGCTTCTAACGGTAATTTTAATTACAAAATCCATTAGCACTTTTTGCTAGGGAAATCAGTCACACGTTGCCAAGCAGTAAATATTATTTTTTCTCTTTAAAGTTAGTAGTCGACGAATTTGGGTGTGTGCCCAGTGCCCAGCCGAGGGCATTATACTATACTGACACCATAGATTTGATATTTATATTGTAAGAAGTTTGTTCACTGTTCATTATCTTTCTTCTTTATATTATAACTTTCGTGAGATGTGTGATAGTAAATTGTACGTATGACGAGGAACTCAACTAGTTTCAAGCTATACTAGAGGCTCATACATGAGCAGAATTCCGCGATATACTATGCGGCGACTGTAGCAGCGCAGTTGATCGTATACACCACCACCACCATAGACCTAGCTATAATATATATTATAGTTTTTTTTAAGGGGGGAAAATCATCGAATGACTGCTCCCACCTAGGTGAAGCGGAAGGGAGTGTCAGACTCTTACTGACTAAAAACCACCCCTTTCCTTCTCCTGCACGTCGAGCCGGAGCCCCGGTTACCCGTTAGGTTCTCCGCGACTCCGAATCGGCATCGGCCCTATTGGGCCCCATCTGTGGTGGTCTGATGGCTCTTTGAGGCGCGTGCGGAACGCGACACGCCGTACGCTCGGGTATATATTATAGTATAGCTAGCTATCAAAAAAATAAGAAAGGAAAAACTTTATTTCACGCCAAAAAACAAGTGACATGTACAGATGTGTTATTCTATTAGTAGTGGTACTGATGGATACATGTTCATGTACCAAGTCTGCCGTGAAATGGGACCACAGATAAATCACAGACCGAGTTATAATATAAAACACAATTGCTCACGGTTTTAGATTACTTCCTGTACATTTATGGGATGATCAAATTTTAAAGCCGAAGAACATAATAATTAATCCTTCTTCTTAGTATTAAATTAAGAAATCCACATGAGATATCGTTATTTCTACTGATATAGTACCCACTAATGGGTACCGTTCATCTTCTCAAGTGGTACTAACTTCAAGAGAACTTGTTCAAAATACTTTAAACCAAGTATTAACTGCTCGCTATAAAATTACCAACTTTTTCTGACACTTACGACGAGTTTAAGTAGTTCTTCAAATGATGTTGAGATAGTTTTTCTTCGGGCATTGTTAGCTGTACCCAGCATAGCGTAATGAGGTTCTTACGTTTGT